TTAGGTCTGCCACAGAGTTGGTTAACCTATGCAATTACAATGCTGACCATTACCATGCACTGTTAAATAATAAACAATTAATTAACAAAACAAATAACAGCTTTAGTAACAATAACAATAATAATATTCAGAAACAATTTATAAATACAGTTACACAGAAACCCTGTCAGTCATCTGCCCACCAGTCACTACTGTTTACTCAGGTACCTGTTCAGTCATCTGTTACTGATGACTGCTCCCCATCACAATTTTCCCAACGTCACAGAATAAATTCACAAAATTATAAAAATAATATTTTAATGTTCAGTGATGAAATTGGCAGAAACATGGGCCGTTTGCTATTCGATAAGGGCCATTCAACATTAAACTTCTGTATGCCTAATTCCTCTTTTAGTGATATTTTGGAAAAAGCAATTAAACAAAACTACAGCGAAAATACCACTCTATTGTTTTTTATTGGCAATAGAGGTACTTTGAACAAACATAAATTATTGAAATATATAAACGAATTAAATTCATTAAGTGTTGGGAAAGTCGTGATTTTTACGTTGCCGTATTGCAATAGTTTGTCCAACGAAGAAAATAATTTGCGATACAAATTGAATATGACATTGCACACTATATGCAATACTGCAAAGTTTCATGTCATTGACACTAACAAGTATGTTAGAAAATTTTATTTGACTAAAGATAAATATTATCTTTCTAATTATTATAAGAGACAAATAGCTATTTCGCTATCATATTTTTTTTCTATAACAGCCAAAAATTTGGCTAACCAGAGTGCTCCTATTGAGCACTCTTCTATTGACATGACTGTCAGTAATAATCCTACTGACATTGCGACAAATTCGTCTTTAAATTAGATACTAAGACAACAGAGGATTCCTCTTGCTTGCTATTGAATAGTCAAAGTAATAATGGAACCAAGAGTTTTTCAGTCATCAACCTAGTGCACCAAAATGTTCAAGGAATGTTGAGTAAAGAGTTAGAAGTGGAATTATTCATGAACTGTAACAATGTTGATTTTTTCTGTATTACGGAACATTGGTTAACAAGTTATAATTGCATTTTTAACTTCAATAATCACCTGGTTGGTAGCGCGTTCATTAGGAAAAACGCAATGCGTGGTGGCGCACTAATTTTATTAAATAAAAAGTTAAAATTTAAAGAACGTAGAGATATAGTGAGCCTATCGGTTGAGGAAATAATAGAGATTGCCTGTATAGAGCTGGACCAGCTGATTGTACTGAGCGTATATAGACCTCCTTCAAGTTTAGTTTCTCATTATGATCTTTTTGAAACTGTTATGGATGAAGCATTAAAAAAGGTATATAGCAAAGGCAAACGATTAGTGATTGGGGGTGATTTTAACGTTGATTTATTAGGAAACTCCAATTCATGTACAAGACTTGTAAATCTATTTATGTCCTATAATCTTGCGCACATGTTTAAGGAGCCTACTAGAGTAACTGCTACTTCGTCCACTTGTATTGACAACATTTTTACAGATCTAGTACCACTTTCAAGACAGATAATTAAACAACTACCGTCAGATCATTTTGGACAACTAGTTAGCTTTCCGCATAAATGTACGTTTGTGGCTAGGAGAGACATTACAGTTGTGTCAAAAAGTATGAGTCGCTTGGAACGTTTTAAAAATCAATTAGATAGTAAATTGTATCATTTGAAACATAATAGTAATCCCAATGATTTGTACAAAGATTTCTTTGATGTTTATTGTACAGAATTCAATAAGATTTTTGTCCCAAAAAAAATAAGTATTAGTAATCCTATAACTTTTAGTGTGTGGGCTACACCAGGAATCTACAAAAGCAGAAAAAGGCTCTATGAACTATATGATGAACGTAATTATAACACAAGTGAGGACTTCAAAGAATATGTACGAAATTACTCTAAATTATTTAAAAAAGTGTGTCGTTTAGCCAAATGTAATTATTTAAATGCAAAAATTGAAAATAGTAAAGACAAAGTTAAAATGACGTGGAATATCATAAATAGTGAAACTGGAAGAGAAAAATCCCGGAATATAAATTTTAATTTAAACATTGATAATAAAAAAGTAACATCAGATCTTGAAGTTGCTACAGTATTTGAAAATTTATTTACTGAAATTCCAGTCTTAATTACACAATCTTTGAATTCCTCTTCCACTGTTGCTGAATCTATTTTAAAGGCAAGTTTAAATAATTCTAATAGCCAATTTAAGTTTCAACACATTGATTTTAAAGATATAATAAAATCTTTTAATCAGCTAAAGAAAACGAAAACTGCTGATTTATGGGGTAATTCCATTGAAGTTTCTAAATCGGTAATTGAGACAATAGCTCCAATCTTAGCTTATATATTTAATGAATGTACTGATTGTGGTATTTTTCCTGAGCTCATGAAATATAGTAAAATTATTCCTTTACATAAATCGGGTAGCACATCTGACCCTACTAACTTTAGACCTATATCCGTGCTACCTACGTTTAGTAAGATTTTTGAAAAAATCATGCTGGATCAAATACAAACGTACTTTTACAAGAATAAGCTTATGAATCGACAACAATTTGGTTTTACAAGGGGTCGCTCGACAACCGAAGCCGGTGTCGAGTTAATACAAGAAATTTTTAATGCCTGGGAGGATTCACATGATGCGTTAGGTGTTTTCTGTGACCTATCTAAGGCATTTGATTGTGTTTTTCATGAAACATTGATTAGGAAACTGCATTTTTATGGATTTAGAGATAACTCATTGGATTTTATTGTCTCATACTTGACTGACAGAGTACAGAGGGTTGATATCAATGGCAAAAGATCCCCTGGATCGAAAATTAAGATGGGCGTTCCGCAGGGCTCAATACTTGGTCCTTTCTTGTTTTTGATTTACATAAATGACTTGCCTTATTTCGTAAGGGATGATCACGAAATAGTTTTGTTTGCGGATGACACTTCACTCTTGTTTAAAATTAAAAGAGGGTTACCTCTAAATGACGATGTGAACAATTCTATCGCTAAAGTAGTACATTGGTTTAATGTAAATAATCTTCTCCTTAATGAAGGAAAAACAAAATGCTTAAAATTTGTACTACCTAATGTTAAAAAAGTAGATATAAATGTTAATGTAAAAGATAAGAACATGGGCCTTGTGGATACCACAGTATTTTTAGGAATAACATTAGATTCTAAACTACAGTGGGGCCCACATATTGATAGATTGTCGAGTAGACTTAGCTCTGCAGCATATGCCGTAATGAAGATACGTAGGTTAACTGACATAGATACTGCCAGATTAGTATACTTCAGTTACTTTCATAGTGTTATGTCGTACGGTATCCTATTGTGGGGAAATGCTGCCGACATACAAACAATTTTTGTGCTTCAGAAAAGAGCAATTCGATCAATTTATAATCTTAGGATTAGGGACTCTTTAAGGGAGAAATTTAAGGAAATAGACATTATGACTGTTGCTTCTCAATATATATACGAGAACTTAATGTACGTTCGTAAAAATATTAGTTTGTTTTCTATAAAAAGTGATGTACACAATTTTAATACAAGAAATAAAAATAAATTAACGGTGCCTGTCACTAGACTGCAAAAAGTTAATAACTCTTTCAGGGGTCTTTGTGTGCGCTTCTACAATAAGGTCCCAAGCAAAATACAACAATTAGATATCATGCAGTTTAAATCTACTATTAAAAAAATACTTATTAAAAAAGCTTATTATAAGGTATCCGATTATATAACAGATAAGAACGCTTGGACTTGAGATGATCCAGCAACTGGATAGGTGATTACTTCTAAACTCATTATCTTGTTTCCATTATTATTAAATGATTATGTTATTATTATAAGACCATATTTTTTTTTTATCTCTGTTTATAATGTATTGATCTGGTAATGACATGGTTTTTGTAAATGTCATTACTCATATTAGAGCTGGTGAGTTTCTTGCTCGTTCTTCTTATCAGCCAAAAGACGTCCTGAACGAGTGGTAGGGAAAAAATGTTGGACGATTCAAAAGTACTTTTTAGAAGTCTATTTGAATAAAGATTATTTTGACTTTGACTTTGACTTTGACTAAAAAAGTACGTAAAATATACTATAAAAATTTGCTAAAATAAATATGGCATTAAATTAATTACGTAAAACGTTACAACTTTCATTATAACAGCTATAAACATAAACGCACAAATAACAAAGATTGCCCAAACCCCCCTACGTTTTTCGCTACCATAGCACTGTGTGACGTTACTTAGTGCCTTGAATTTGTAGGGAGCGTTTTCGGCCGATTAGCAGCAGTTCCACAAACATAGCACCAGATCTCCGAAACTGTTAATCGCAGTCATACTGTTTTCTTCTACAATAGTCTATCACTACATAGTATTAAACATGCGTTTTTTCTTTTCATAGATAGGGTGATTCAAAAGGAAGGTTTTTATGTATAATACAAGATCATGCCGGCGAAGCCGCTGGCGGAAAGCTAGTTTATTTATGAAATAAAAAAAATGACAGCTAGTCTATATATCTCTAGAGCTTAAATTGTTTTTTTCCAAGTTTTTCTCTTTGTAACTTGTCACAATTACTTAGCTTTTTGTATATCACTTTTATACTACACCAGCTGTTGTAAATTATTGCCTTTAATGAAGATTTTTCTCTATTACAACTAGGATAACTTGGATTTACCGTTAGTTCTCAAAAAAAATATTTATGCAATTTTTCTCTATGATGTATCTGATACGTCATTTTAGTGAAATAGAAAATTTCATAGATTTATTGAAAATCTTTATCTATATTATTTGATCTTTCTCTCTCTCTCTCTCTCTCTCTTCGCAGAAAAAAGAATATATACGCTACATTTTAGACTTTTAGATATCATTACACTTTACTACACTTTACTCTTTTGGAAGAGATATTCTTGCAGAAAATGCGAAAAACCTAAAATAAAAATATATGCCTAAAATAGTAATGTATATATTCCAGTATATAAAATGAACTCATTTCAACACCATCCAGTGAAACAAATACGCGAGAACACACGAAGACAGGTTATTTTAGCGGACGTTAATATACCGTACAAATTTTCTTTAGACAGATCAAAGAATCATTTATTTTTCTGCATAAATGCCGACGAGTTCTCGGAACAAAGCTTTCACTCAGTCGTATTAGAGCTCCACGGCGGCTCCACTACAATTGTTCCGGGCATTCGAAATGGATTTGCGAGCGCAGTCGACCATGCCTCCGGATCCGTCTACCTTGGAGGTAGCGATGGTATATATAAATACAACTACCAAACAAAAGATGTGATAACGCCATCTTTGATAGGAGAAATCGATATATTCGACATGTATTTTCAGAAATATTTGTATTTTGTAGATACAGCAAATCAAAATCTTTATACGTATAAAAACAACAAGGTCACCATCGTGCCTGAATTAAAAGACCATCAAATACTCCACTTCGTTATCGATGTTGACGATAATATTATATTTGTAAATGGAGCCGGTATACACATACTACCGAAAGGTGAAAAATCAGCTATACTATATGATAACAGAAATATCAACATTCGTGGCGCTACGACTGATATAAATGGTTTGCCCTTTTTCATAGCACAAGACGGAATCTACAAAATCGGCGATAATATGGAATTAGTTAAAATATTAATTCTCGAAAATGGTTACGGATTAGCATTTGATAAAGATAATAATATTGTTTACAGCGACGAAAGAACTGTTAATAAATTAATCCCATGCGATAAATATTAATTGGCTTCCGTATGTACTTACAAAAAAATGCGATTTGTTATTGTTAGATATAGATGATATAACGTGATTTATGATTTTCGCCATCTGTAATTGAAATTATCTTGTCAAGGATAAAATGAATCGAAGTATTCGTTCATAATATGTAGATAAGAAGATCCTTAACGTGGGTTTATAAATCATAAAACGTCTAGTGAGCTAAACATGATGAAAAATATTATCAACATATTGTAATAAAAAACCGTCATTTTCAACTGGGTATCGTATGTTTATTTGCAATTTGCCCAACAAAATATAATCAGATTTAGTTATTTGTAAGTTATTACTTTTTACATTTGTATCACGAAAGAAATCAGTATTACTGCAGATCACTTCATAGTGATATAATTTATCATTGTTTGATTATTATTGTTTAATATTTATTTGAAAGTTTCTTTGTTTTGATATTTGTCCGTCAAACACGCCGAAACTACTGAAAGGATTTTAATGAAATTTAGTATACAGATAGGATATTAGCCGACTTAGATAATAGGATACTTTCCATCCCATAAAACATTTCCCTGAGGACCACGCAAGCAAAGCCCCTGGCGAAAACTAGGAAATGAATTAAAACATCTTCATGGATAAAATCAATACCTACAAGTTCAAGCAATGGCTGGAGCCATAGAGAATTATGTAATGCTCTCTATTTCTCTGCGCTTACTTATAAGTCTTACAGAGACACCAGAAGCTAATCAAAGCAACTGCTTCAAATACATTTATTTATTTATAATTTTTTATTTGAATAATTTAAAGAAAACTATGCAACATAATTTATGGAAGTATGATTTAAAAATTTGTTATATTTAGTCTTGTTTCAAAAGTTTATTGCTTTTCTAAAAACATTCTCATATTACGCTACTTTAAGAAGCGGTAATAATATGTTGCTAAACTATTAAAATAATTAGTAGGTCTAAAATTTCCATTTTCCATTAAATACTCCTCAATTCCAATGACTTTTATTTTTTTATAGTTATCATTAATGAAGAGAAAACACGACATAAATGTTTATCGATTTATTTATAACATTAATTGATATTATAAAATATAGGAAAACATCTGGAACAGATTACGGACTATGTATGTATAATTATTAATATATTTGTTTGTGATAACAAATAACAATGGTATATACAATAAAATCCATGGTCGAGCCATTAATTATTTTCGTCCATCGCTCGTATAAGATTTATCGTTCTAGTGTATAATAGATCCTTTGCATCGATGCCCCAAATGAAATCAAGATGACTGAATCTAGGCATAGGAACACGGAACTTGCCGATGGGTCTGCCGAGTTCGCGGAACAACCTGTTGACGTCAGTGACGTGTGCGAAGGGATCTCTGTCAGAATAATGAAGGAAGACAGGCGTGGTGACCCGCCTGAGGTCGTAGTGTGGTGGACGCCTGCTACCGTAAGCCCGCCTGTTGGAAATCATAGACCCGTGGTCATAGCGACGGAATTCTTTACCAGAGATGCCTTGAGCATAGTGGACTATTTGCCTCGATGACGCTCCAGCCGGCGAGTGAGCCAATTTTAAGGGCAACAACGTCTAAAAAATAAAAAAAAGCAACATCAATAAACAAACTACTTTGATTAATGTTAAATTTGTAAAAGAGAATAAGGACGCAGGTGCCACGTTGTGCACATTACTCAATCGCATTTAAACGCATCGAGAGTTCTTTCGCATAATTATTTGGTAAATAATTAATAAACTGATCCTCTATCGATTAAATTTTTATCAAATAAAAACATTTGATGCAAATATGTAAATAAATTTGAACAAAAAAGTAAATTTACACGATGTGATAAAACATGCGATTTTTCCACCTCTAGAATTTGTAAAAGAAGGCGGAGACACAAGCCATATCTACTTGTTTTTATGTGACGAAAATTATAATATATGAAATATTAAATGTCATGAAATTGTTGTTTGTAGAAACTATTTCGTTAGTTCAAAAGGACTCAATGACTTATTGTTAATGTAAGCCTTGCCAATCTCTTGATAAGTGTTTTATATAGTTTTTAATTTGCATTTTTATGTGTGACTTTGTCACTTATTGTTTTTTTTTGCTCTCGGTCTCTTGTATCTTGTGCTTTCATAAGTATTCTTAAATATATATTTTTCTGTTGCTAAATTGTCCCTTTTATTAACTACAGTCCAAGTTCTTGCTGTAGATTACAGTTTGTTTTCAAAATATTTTGTATATGTGACGTGAATTTTAAGACGCTGGCTCTTCCTTTATATTCTGTACTATTATCAAATACTTACAGCGTTATGTTGATCCTCATTCCATCCTCCAAATAAGAAGAGTATGTTGCTACAAAGAGGTTGGAATACCACCTCATCCATGCACAAATTTTTACCTGCCCATGACATTACTTCATTGTTAGGGAGGAACTCTCCAATACCAATCAATGACAGAGCAAACTGAAATAATGATACATATTTATTTTATAATGTTATCTATAAAAAAATAAACATTGAAATAATATCTGGACCAAGAGAAAAACAAGCCTCACGCCGTCCAAATACCGAATAATCAATAAAACTTCGTTCATATTGTTGATCGAAATGAATATTTAGTAGGTTATATAACTTTATTATTTTTAAGTAGTTCAAATTAGGTGTTGTTATTATTTGAACTTATTATAACGAAACGTCTATTTATAAATTTTATAAAAGCAGGCAAACAATACTTTAACGACGCCAAAAAAACGGGGTCGTTAATATTTATGGATATGCCACAATATTTTGTTTTTGTTAGTTGAAAGTATGAATATTCCTTATGGGGTATTAATAAAATAGTAGTTTTTTGTAATTGAAATCTTTCAGTATAATATTAATCAAAATTAAATGATTTCATGAGACATATGTTGTCATCAAAAAGTGGAAATATTCTAGCTTTTTCTTTACTTTACAAAGTCGGTTTTAATTTATCCAAACAAGAACAAATTTATTTTGATGTTTACAGTAAAGATTTTTAAATTTTCATTTTGATACAATCACTACCACCAGATGTAATTAATTATCAGTTAGGAAATAACATTTTTTTTACCTCTATGTTATTAGCATGACGTGCGAGCAGAAGGAACAGTGGGTTCCTGTTGTTAGCCATATAAGCTACAGGGGCGAAGGCGTGCATAGATATTATTTTCTGATTGTATTCAGGACGAAGAGAATTCATCACAAAGAATACGGTAGTGCCTTGAGAATGACCAACGTAGTGAAGTCTGTCCCTGCCGGACTTTTCTAGGACGTAATCGATCATAGCCGGTAAATCGATATTTCCAATTTCATCCCAAGAGAACCGCCAGAAAGCTGTACTTAGAAGCGCATCAGGATTCAGACTGGTATGCTTGCGAGAATAGTAGTTACCGCGAGCGTTTCCCATCCATACGTCAAAACCTTCTTCAGCTAAAATATAACCTGAAAATAATCATAATTTTGATTAGAAAAATATTTAAGCAGGTACTATTCATCGAATCTACAAAAGGGTTTAATGTTTTTATGCTTTGAAAATTATATTGCCCGTTAATGGCTAAAGGTGTTAGTATTAACTATTAGTCTGGATTTAATGAAATTACAACACATATAGAATTTTTACGTTTTGTTTTGAACTAAACTTTTTTCCGATAAGTAAATTAAGTTGAGGAAAACGCTCGCCTATCCTAATATGTCGTGGACGTAAACTGTGTTATGTCTATAGCTTATGTAAGCCATAACTTTAGTAACAAACAGCAGTTGTTTTTAATAGTTAACAAACAACACGTAAATTTCGCAAATCTGTAAAATTTTTCCAATGGATCAAAATAGATTGCAGAATTTTCGTTTTTTGTAGTAAGTTTATGTACCTACTTAGTCTACCATTAAAAATACTTCTTTGTTCTATTTTTATACTTCATTTTTCGTCTAAACTCCTTTATGTTTTAACAACCTCAGCCAAGTTTGATACAAGTATATTTTGATTAATAATTACCGAAAGAACATCCAGGGCCCTTAACAATCCAATCAGCTGATGAAGATAGTAGGCCATGCATTAGGAACACAACAGGTCTTGGGCCTGGTACGTTGTTATTATCTCTTCCATGGGGAATACGATGCATTTCAAGAATGTATCCATCCTCTGTTGTCAGCGTGTGGACTTCCAAAGGATATCTGTACTTCCTAACGAGTTCGGGCTGAAAATAATGTATCCAAGAATGTTAAGAGTAATGATAACAATGTTAAGAGTAAACGATATCTTTAATAAAAGTCAAACCTAACTGACTTATACATATATCAACGCACAGCCGAAACTACTATACCTAGAAACTTGAAATTTAGTACAGGGGTTGAAAGGATATGAAAAGAGTTCGTGATGCATCTAAGTAAGGATTTAAAAAAAAATATATATACGGATTTTTCTCATTTCTTTTTAATAACTACAGTACACAAGGACAAAGAGGCGAGCAAAATTTAAGTATAAATTTGAAAAAAATATGTTGAAAAACACAACTGCAGTCAGAATTAAGTCTTGCCTCGTTTGTAATACCATTACAGACGTAATAGTATCTTTCGGCTACCACCAAGGCACTAACAATTTTAAAAACTTATATAACTTACACACGTTTTATTATATAAAACACTTTTTAAATCTACAATAGACTAAAAGTGCTCACCACAGACAAAAAAGGTGGAGCTAACAGATAAGAGGGGAATGTTTGATCTTCTAAATTAATCATTCAGAAACGACTATATACGAGTAACTACATTGAGATCTTAACATGAAAACCTTACCACATCTAAAGCAGCATCTTCCAATATGTTGTCAACTATCCTCGCATTGAAACTTTTAGCCAATTCTTCGATAATGTCGGCGTGCGGGGAGCATTCCGCCGCCACCAACATACAGAACACAAGTAATGCTTTTCGTAGCATCATCATTAACTGATGAATGGTACTACATAATTTTAAAAGAAGCCAGAACTCCTTTTTATAACTTTTGCAAGCCAGATAAAGTATTTATTTGCAGAGATAAAATATGAATTTATCATACTTAATATTTAATAACACTTTTAGACCGGTGGCGGATTAATAATCGTTGTCGCTCTAGGCAAGCGCCTCGTGACGGCTTCCTTACCTCTTTTGATCATAAGTATATTTTTTATTACACGCCTATAAGTATTTTTCTTTGGCTTTTTTATATGCTAGGGCACTAAGTTTCCTTAATATTTGCCATGATGATAATCTATAGGTGCCTTAATATTATAAAGAGGATTGATTTGATTATTTAAACGACCTATGTACGTTGTATGTTGATAGCGTATATTGTAGTAGTTTCTAGAGCAGTGCTTCTTAACCTTTTAGTTATTGAGGGGGATAGATTTATTAATCTATGTTTAGAGACCGATTTCTATCTCTCCTTGGCAACCCTGAACTAGGCCAGGAGGGATATAATTTTTTTATCAGGTACCTACAACTGATACTAATATTATATTTCGAGAATAGCCAGTTATACGATTATCGGAAGTCTCCTAGCCCGCCTGGACGTTAGGAACAACTATCTCAAATCAATGAAAACTCATGTAAAATTGAAAAATAAAAACCTCAATGTGAACACTCTCTTCGAAATAATGTTTTTTTAAAGAATACTTCACTGTTTATCTTTCCGGTAATGTAAAGTTAGCTACTTATCTACTTACTCAATTTCGCGTTTTATCTACCTACTTTTGTATCAAATATCCCTAAATAAAACATGCGCATCTTAAGATCTTATTTATTTGTATTGAATAAAGAAATAAATAACATCTCTAAAGACACACGTGTCCGGGTAAAAAAGTTATCATGAGACAATTTCACCCTATCCGTAAATTTTTTTTCTGTTACGATTACGGGTAAAAAATGTATTCGTTATCCTATTTCGAATATCCGATAGTTTGTCACAGTTACGGCGCTTCTAACATCCCTGATCTACATGCTCTTCCTAAATAAAGGGTCTTGACAAACAGACGGTTTGACATACAGAACCTCAAATATATAATTTAAAGAAAAACAAAAAACCCGACTGCGTAAAAACGAATTTTTAAAAATACATGAAAAAATTAACTTAAATAAAAACTAAAAAGAAAGAAACAAGCCCAGTAGTTTAGAAATCTGTTAAGTAATCCTATCCTATTAATATTATAATCCTATTAATATTATAAATGTGAAAGTTTATTTGTTTGGATGTTTGGATGTTTGTACGTCAATCACGCCGAAAGTACTGAACGGATTTTGATGAAATTTGGTATACAGATAGGGTGTTAGCTGACTTAGATAATAGGATACTTTTTATCCCACTAAACATTTCCCTAGGGTCCACGCGGGCGAAGCCGCTGGCGAAAGCTAGTACTAAATAACTACACAATTGAAAGTTTTATAAGCGATATATTTCTTTCCTTTTAGTTTTTATTTAAATTAATTTTTTCATGTATTTTTAAAAATCGTTTTTACGCAGTCGGGTTTTTTGTTTTTCTTTAAATTATTTATTTTTATTTTATACTTTTTAGTTACGATTCGTCGACTTCGGTATAAGATGATAAATTTCGCAATCTAGTCATTTCATTGAGGGAGTTAATATCGTGGGGATTATTAAGTAACTTGCGGTGGTCTAAACTACTGATGATTAGTCCCTCTAGAGACCTACCTCGGCTCAAAGCTACATAAATGCTTTATTTTTTTACCAAAAATATTTGTTCTTCGTGCTTTTTCACTGTTTTTTTTTGTTTGTATATCGTTTATACTTTAAATAAAAACTTAAATCAATAAGTAAAAAAATTAGCCAGAATGATTGTTTTGTTAATAAACTTTAAATCGTTTATTAACAAAACAATCAATCATCATTCACGATCTTTAGATGATTTTAAAATATCTATTCAACGACACCCCACTTGATTTAGTTCATTTTTCATTTTGACAATATGGCGGCTGGTTGTCGCTGTGGTGAATTTTGATTACTGTCATGTCTTTAGTGACACTCGCAAGGTTAAGAATCGATTGACGTAAGAATCATCAAAATCGGCCTACGCATTTGGTCTCTAGAACGCCACATAGAAACAAACATACATACACACATAGACTGATAAACACATTACCCTCCGTTGCGTCGCGCAGTCGGGTAATAAGGAGGTTATGCAACATTTTCGTTAAAATAAATAGTCAATCGATTTGATGAATTTCATTATTTAAAAGTCTATATTTCCGAAGGAGTTTCATAAATAAAATTGGACTTTACCAGACTCGGAATAATTCTATCAGTCTCTACTATGATTATATCATCAAGAAAGTTTGCTATCTGCTGATTGCCAGGCGTTATATGACTAATGTTTAATTATTGCAATTCTGCGTTTTATCGCTTGTAGTCAGAGGATTAAAAACTGTGGTTACTAAGTCCCTCGGATCACTTACTGGTCTCACTTTTTTCCCAATCCTCCGATTAATAGGTTTGGTATGAGCAAGAACACTTTTCCCATACCTACCTCCGAATCCGATCGAGTGAATTTTGTTATCAGTTACTTTACTTAACCAAATGTACAGTCAAGGCCGTTATTTGAGTTTATTGATTTCTTCTTAATTAATTTGGCTAGGTGAGTGATAAAAACAAAATTTATTCATTCGGAGGTACGGGAAAAATTATTACCGCTCCTCCTACCAATCGGAGTACCGATCATAGGATTGGAAATAACAAATTATTTTCTCTTACAACTTATTACGATGAATAAATAGTTATTGTTAAATATTAAATAAATGTTACGGATAAAGGTTTAACTAGAAAACTAGCAATATTATTTGATGGCGTCATTTAATTAAAAGACCAATTCTGTATAAGGAGAGCGTTTTACCAGTAGTTTCGTTTTGTCAGCATTAAGCACAATCCAGTCATTTTGAACTAGGCGGTAGGTTTCAGTGACGTCAGTACCCGCGCGTAACACGCATATACACGGAGGTGTAGCGAAGTGCACCTCTCAAACTATTTACATGCATTAAAAAACAGAGAGGACCGCACCCGAACCCTAGTGCCACACCACATCGCACTTCTTTTTTGTTACTATATACCTCGCCCAGCCTGACACAGAAAGAGCGCGAGGTGAGGTAGTCACGGAACCAGTTATTCAATGGCCAACCTACTCCAAACTTTCCCATTGCATTCAACAATGGCTCTGTTTCAAGGGACACTGATCACTACTTTTTTCACATTAAGATAATTATTCATTTCATCATTAAACTTAGACAACAATGTGCTGTACTCCTAGCTTTTTGAAACCCGTATAATCACTTGTGAAAGTTGAATAAATATTAATAAGATTTAAGTATAAAAATAATTTATTGTGCATTTACAATATTACCAAGAGTGCTAAGCTAACAAAGCTTTAGCATAATGTTTACAATAACAACAAAACAAATTTACAGACAATTTTCTGACCTTTGATCATAAAAACTATTTTAAAATTTATTACAGTTTGTTGTCATTTTATTATAGGAGAAATTGTTACTTTTCTTTTAATTAAAACTCAATTAAGTGACCATAAACGTAATTGACTTTTTATTGAAAGAAAAGTAGAATTTGTTCAATAAAAATAATAAAGCATGTTATATATTACAAGAAATAAAATACAAAGTAATATCAAGGAATTATAGTTTGAAAAAACTTGCTTGAGGTTAATAATAAATCTATAAATTAATGTGTTCTATGTTAACTTGTTGGAGTGCTTAAAACTAGTGACAGTCTGCTACAAATCATCATCAGAATCAAGAGCAGCCCTTCTTCTATCAAACTTAACAGTGCTTGATGACTTAGGCATTTGTTGGTTAAGAGACTCCACTAGCTGAATTAATTCCTGTTCTGATATTTTTCCACGTATTTGTCCCATCTGTACCATTCTGCAGATCATGTTTTCCACCATTGCACCTTTTTCAGGTCTACCAAGTTTAATTATGTTTACTGTAATTTAAAAAGAAAAAATGTAAGCAAATTTTTGTCATTATCAGAATGAATTTGAATATAAGTTCTTTAACATTACATAAACTTAATTATTATATTTTTTAAACATTTGATTTTAGATTAATGTCATTAAATTTAAATGATATATGCAAATATAAAAAATATAGGTACAACATATAGGCACTTCCCCATCAATACTCATTTACCAATTTTAAGATGATTGATAACTACTATACTGCTGAACTTTAAAGGCATTGTTTAAATTCATATTTTGCATCCAAGATCATTTGCATTATTGCAATTTCAATTCATATTGTACATCCACTTGCATTATTACAATAGAAGACATCAGAAAAATAAGCTACAATCTGTTACCAGAAGTTAGATCTAAACTTTTTAAGTTTATTTAGCGCGCTTGGGAGTGTACATTTGTTAAATGGTGCCTTCAAAGAATCATGAGGTAATAAAATCCATCAATTTTTTTACATCTGGCTCTGGCGTCTTGACTGAGTGCTTGAGTAAGAATCGAATGCTTAGCCTCTTCCATCGCTTGCATTCTTTCTTCTTGAGCTTTAGCTTGGTTTGGATCTCCTCCCTGTTATACATGAAATAGACAATAAAATATCTTTGAAGTCTTATTAAAAATCTAATTTATAATCGAGTGAATCCAAAAATAATTAAACCTAACCTCATAGTGATATGGATTGAATCATACTTCAACTTACCCCATGTTGAGCTTGTAGTTGTGCAAGTCTTTGTTGTCTTATCTTTTCTAGTTCTGGATCAGCCATTATAGTGAATAAATAATTATCAATGTATTTTTAAATTTTTTAATACAAAAATGCAATGATATTAAAAATGACATCTAGGGATGTTAGATTTCGAGTAGGAATACGATATATCGGATAATTATATCGATTGCAAAAATACCAACGTAACGAAAGGCGTCATTTAGCCTTAATGGCAGTTTATGCAACTAATCTTTAGTCTCATAGATCCACGAAAACCTAGGGCGAAATCTATGTTTGTGCTCTCCATAAAATGTTTTAATATTTTAATTTGTCACAATGACACCGCTAATTTGGGGTTATTTTTTAATATTCCAAAGAATAGTGTTTTTGACACTTTTCTTGAAATTATTTTAAATCGTCGTTTGCTACATTATAAACACACTGTCATAAAATTTCATAGGAAACTTTTATATTTTTGGTGAAAATAATTGTTAAAATTTAAATCGCCAAAATCGCGCGAAAAACGCTGCTCTATGTAATGACGCTGATCGTGACGTCACAGGCCAGTAAATTTGTCAAATCGATAAGTAACAACTGTTTTTATAGTAAATAGAAATAATAATCTAGAAGAGAAATTGAAGTCGTAGAAAGGTTTTTTCACGTTTTTTATTTTTGTCCACTTTGGTTTTCTTAATAAAATGAGTTACAAGTGGTGCGTAGTGCCACAATGTACTAATACTTCTATAAATAACAAACAAACTTCGAGTCTAGAAGAAAATACATTCAGAATCACAATAGTATAGTAGCTATATAGAGTAGAGATGGGTGATAAAATTCAGTAAAGATTCGCTAAAAGTATTGGAACGTTTTTATTTCATATGATACATTAGGTTTTCTTTTTTTTTCTATATCATAAACATTTTACAACTCATTTATATTTGTTGACAGGGCTCGCACTTCACAGCCTTTCGACCTACAGATGGATGAGACATTAGTATCAAAAAGAATAAATAATTTTTTATATATATCTGTCTGTCTGTTTTATGTATATCTGTCCACTAAATGCACGGCATTCGATAATTAGACATCAGATCCCGATGATTTATTAAATCAGATTTTAATTTGGAGAACAGCATATTTCATAAAAATTGTCTTTGTAATTTTGAATTATTATATTAAAGTTCAAGAAATGAGAAAAACATGTAAGTTGCTCTTTTTTAAATTGCTGGCCTTTTCCTTATTTCTTGGATTTTTTTAAAAGCTTAGTAAATCATTCTTTCTTTCTGTGTCAGTTCTTATCAGCAGAAGCGGCAAAGTATTCTGTTATCTGTAAAATACTATAAAGTACTCGATACCTATAGGCATCGATATTTTACGTATCTTTCTATCACTACTTTGACATGACAGCCGATGACGTCACAGGCTAGTAAACTGAATCGTTATTAGTTGTTACCTGCCTACCACCTACTAAGTCTGTGGTTGTTACGACGACGTTTTGTCGTTACATAAATTCCTAAAAATATTACATTTTCTTTACGTTATATTACTAATTCGAAACATGTTTTTACTGCAGATGATAAGAAATAAGCTTTACTAGATAAATATCTATCAGGATGCCCACTAAATGCAACTTATTGTCGATAGTGTCAAATATCCTATTGTTAATGCACCTTCTAAGTTTTCACATAAATAAAATACTTGTTTAAATTCTCTTTAACTTTATATAACCTATTTGGTGTTAGCAGATAATCTAGAGATATTTTCTTTTATTTAGAAATAAAATATACATATTACATTGCTGGAGAAGTGCGCACATTACATTGTGTCGTACTAAGCACGTAATGTAAAGAACATCGCAAAGTCACCGTTTTAAATAGCAACATAATAGATTACGGTAGATGGGTACTGAAGTGCCGTGTTAGTTAGTAATGTAAAGAACATCGCAAAATCACCGTTTTAAATAGCAACATAATAGATTACGGTAGATGGCTAGTGAAGTACCTGGAAACATTTAATCGGTTCTTGGTGTGTTAGTTAGTAAAAACTAAATAAAAGTATGGACGATAAAAATAGTGGTAATAAAAAATAAATTCAATCAGAGATTAACCATATTGACTTCGATTGGTATGCGTTTGTATACTAATTTAATAATGAGTGTGGTAATAAGTCTGTTTTATATTCTTAATATTATAACAGAAAATAAGTTTTTTTAAATTATATTGAACCATAAAAAACAATAGTTTTTAAATCATCGGAATCCGTTCAGGATAAGTTTTACTAGCATTTATTGTACTGATAGAATTTTATTATTTCGTATATATTTATTTACATTATATTGTTTGTCAATATTACTAGTTTCATTTAAGCGATGTTGCCGATCTTATCTGTTTACTTGATACGAAATCGAGTAACGTAACGTTAAAAAAATACCTTCTATTATTATTTATAAACAAACATATTTATATGCATATAAATATTTAAGCTCGACTAGTACCGATTCAATGTTAGTTCATTAGTAATAAGTAATTTTAAGATTTCTTATTGAATCAACCAACTAATTAAGAATTAATATCTAAAGAAAAAAGATAATGTCTCATTTAATCAATACAATTCAATATTTATCCAAAATAATATAAAGAAATCATTACTCTAGTATCCTATCAATTAATCGACTTGTTGTTTTTCAATATCAATAGTAAATAACTTTATGTCAATCACTAGTGTGATATGTCAAATTAAAATTGCTTTTACACATTTATTGCCAGGCGGTGGTAACTTCATACAAGTGTAAAATTATACCTACAGGGGCAAAATTTTATGATGAAAGACCCAAATAATCTTTCATAATACCATATTTTTAACTAGCAACTAAGATTTAATAATATGGCAATGAAATGAATCTGCAGTGTTGCCTCATGTTATGACTTTCACACATTTTAGTAGTCTCTGATAGTTGTCTTGTACCAAAAAATTATATTTATCCAAGTTTTTAATATTCAGAAATACATTTTATTAAGTCAAGTAAATAATAAAGTTGACTTTTATTTTTTTTTGAGTTGCAATCGTTTTAATTTTATTAATGGGAAGGCATCATTGTTAAAATTAGTAGTAGTTATTTTTGTAACTGATTTGATGTCGATAATGGCAATTTGTTTTGTTGTTCCCACTTGTTCCATGCGATTCCATCACAATTATTCATTTCCTGCATTTTCTGAGCTTTTGTTCCTCCTTTTAATGTGCTTAGAAAGTGGATTCATAGTTATTTTTGAAAATTGAGGTAGTGACTCTTCTCTGTTGTTGTGGTTGTTGAAAATATGGCTGATAAAGAAAACAGAAGAAAATGTTTTAAGTGTGGACGTTCGCCAACCCAGCATAATGTAAAGCTCTTTCGTTTTCCGAAGCCGGCTAAAAAGAATCTTATACGGTACTTGCTTTAATCTTCTATTTATAGATTTCCAAACTAATGAATAGTATGTGAAGTTCCGCTACATTTTAACAAGAGAATATTCCCATTATGTAATGCTAGTGATAATTATTTTATTAGCAGTAGAGTTAGAATTGACATAAATACTTGTATTTAGTTGTAAAAAATATGACTTGGGTCAAAGAGCTTCAGTATTAGGTATGTCATGCTAATCTGTATGAAAGAATTTTATGTTATTTCTGATAAAAGTGATGTAGGTGAAGGTGATTAAGGATGTTTATCGATTACGAACTGTAATTAAATTAGTTTGTTATAAAATTCTTAGGAAAATGTATCTCTATCTCTTGTACTATAAGGATATAACATTCTTAATTTCGTTGTATTTGTTTTCAGATGTGAATCGTGGGCTAAATATATTTTCCACAAAGGGCGGATTTCATCAACAGAATTCCAAATGAAATTGTACACTGAACATAGAATGCTGTGTCAAAATCATTTTCTTGACAATTTGGTGCACACATTAAAATAATTCTGAAAGCTTGTAAATCTATGTTGAATTAAAGTTAAAAACCAAACAGTATGTTGAAAATTCACTTAATTTGTGTAATAAAGCGGTATGTTAAAATAATAATAAAATAGAGTGTGTTATTAGAGTTTGGCAAGCGAAACGTGACACCACCTATTTTTCCGTTTTCATATGGCAACAACATAGAACTGTCAGTTTGACACTACGTTAGACAATTCAAGAATATTGAATTTTGTTGTTTTTGCGAATTTGAACTTGTGTTTTTGGTTAAAAATTATGTCGAAGCCGATAAAAAGTTCATCGAGGAAACTTCTTTCCATCATGATTGACAAGTTTACTGAAGTGAAAACTGAATTAAATAAAAATTTCATGGAGAAATTACAACAATTAGATAAAGTTGTATCTTTTTTAGGTTAGTTTTGTATTATAATTTTGATACTTTCGTTTTAATTTTCTGTAATTAACTAAACAGATATTTTTTATAAAATATTGCTCTATTTCAGATAACTGTGATGGTGATATTCAACCAATAATGGAGGAGATAAATGCAATAAAAACTTTAGAAAAACAAGAAATGCTGAATTCGGAAACGCAGTACTTACAAAAAATTTCTTCAATGACAGGTCTCTTTTCTTGTTTTGATTTAAGATAGATTGATAGTATTCCTATAATATTTACATAGGTTTTTTATGATGTATTGGTTTTTATTGTTGACATCCAATGATGTCATAAGAATGTTTTGTTTAACAAGGAAATTCACAGAATTCATGAAACTAATCAAACCATGTAATTGTTATACATGCTAAATATGCACATAAACTTAACTAAATTAAACATAAATTGCATTCATAGTTGAATAGGTATTTAAATTATTTTGATGTATGTGTCTATCATTATTTGCTTTTAAATACATTTAACATATCTTTGTTTCAAAGTGTTTAATCTTTTATAGATGTAAGTATAAGGACACTAAGAAGGATAAAAAATGAAGCATTAATTAATAAAGGAAAATGGGACACTCCTGGGAAAAAACGACCTCATCAACCAACAGTGTCTGCTTTAGATAATTTTGATTTAAGTGCAATTCGGAATAAAGTAAATGAATTTTACTGTGTGAAAAAAATTGTTCCAACATTAAGAAGCCTTCACAATGAATTAAAAGATGCAATAGGATTCAGTGGTAGCCGTGAGACTTTACGAAAAATTATGCTTAAGAATGGATTTTCTTTTAAAAGCAATGAAAATGAACGTTCTATGCTTATAGAAAA